AACAATGATGTCAATTGTCAGAAACAATAGGGGTAATCTAAGACAATATGTAAATAGTAACGGTAGAGTTAGTCAATTAACTAAACCATAAGGGTAGTTTAAGAATTTTTTCCTTTTTTAATTTGATCCCTCTCTAAATGTGAGGGAACAAAATGTAATTTGAACTACTACATTTCCCCCATTCAATGCCCTCTCATTAAGTCTTATATACAAAACTAAATAAATTTTGTAAAAAACATTTAGGCATATATCTAATATTTTATATTAATAAACCACATTAAAAAAATAAGTGTGATGGAATAATTGCTTTTATTAATGAAAGAAATAAAATATAAATTTAAAACCAACCCAAAAATGGAGTTGTTTTCATATTTGGTGGCAAGTCAACAATTCAACCTTTTGGGTCAAATGTGTCAATCCTTGCTGTCATAATTAAATAATAATAATAATTAAAAAAATGAAAATACACAAAAGTATAAAAAATATGAAAAAATGTAGAAAACATTTTGGCACATATCTAATATCATATATTCATCTTATTAAACAAAAATAAGTGTAACAAGAAAGAATAATTTTTATGGACATACAAATACAAAAAAATATGCACAAATATTTGAAAACATATTATATATTATCACCAACATAAAAGATTGTCATGTGCAAAGTGTGTGCACAGTTACTAGTAATGTATAAATGACACTTATAGTTTTTGAGTGAGGAAGGACCTATTTATGTCAAGTGGAGCCATCTAACATGGTATATTTAAATAATTTTGGAAACCACAATGTATATTTAAGTAGTTTGGTAAAAAAAAACTCAGTCTATTTAAGTAATTGGTGAAAAAAGCAGTAAATGTAAAAACATTTTACGTTTTTTCATCCAATATGATGGATGATCAGCATTGGTTCGTAGAAGATGAACTCTAAATTTGCAAAGAGCTTTGGTTGTGGATATTTTCTTATGCTTTTAGAGTTTTGTTTAAAATATGAAAAACCACTTAACAGCTCTTTGTAGAATTGTACTTAGGGGTGAGCAAATGAGTAGGTTCTACCTGGAATCAAATGGAACCGACCTTGAACCAGCCTTGAACAGACCCTACCCAATCTATTATAGGGTAGGGTTTGGTTCTAAATTCTTGGAACCAACCCCCACCCTAGGGCTGGTTCCAAGGTTAGGGGTTTACCCTACCCGAACCGACACGATGAATTGACCTTGATGGAACCAACCTTGTTGGAACTTGCCTTGGAACCGTACTTGCTTTGAAATAAATCCTAAAATACTTTTTGGGGATGTGAAGGTTTGATTCCAAGCATTCATGGTTACAAAGGCCATGGTCTCACTTGACCATTGAATTACTTAAGTGATTTGATTATTTGTTTTCATTTTAATATTTGAATGTATACAATAAGTAGTGTAAAAGGTAATATTTACAAAATTTAAATTTAATTTAAAAGTTTTTAACCATATAATGATAATTTACATATGAAGTTATCTAATTTAATCAATAAAGATAATATAAGTTTTAACCTATATATTATATTTATTAAAAATCAAAGTTTCTAAAGAACATGCTTTCTTTTCTTTTTCTTTTTTTTTTTTGTAAAAGGAGAGAGTAAAGAAAGTATAGGTTTCATGGATAGACCTTGGATCTGACCTCAGAACCACTAAGGCCAAAATCGACCCTGGAATCAACCTTTACAGGTAGTTTCCAGTTCTAAAAACCTGGAACCGACCCCTACAAGGTATGTTCCAGGTAAGGAAAGGGAAAGGTAGGAAAACTTATACAAACCAAACACCACCTTAAGGAAAATTTGTTATGGCAATAGGATAGAATGAGACTTGTGTGGTGGAATATATATCTCAAGCTCATTTCTGCTACCCACAAAGACACAAACATCTTTTCTTTAAGGAGATTTTCTTATGGCTATAGGGTAGAATGGAACTTGTGTGGTGGAGCATATCTCTCAAGCTTATATCTGCTATCCACAAGTACAAACCCACACTACTCAAATAAACAATCACACATTAAAAATATCTCCCATACTTTTATATTGTTATTCAAAAGGGAAATGTTCCTAATGTGTGGCTGCAATGTCTTATGGATGACGGATTTGGATTGAGATTCTATCTTAAAATAACACTTGGAAGGTTATACTAATTGAATGCAATGCTTATGTAGCAAGCTATGAAATGAATGACAATATAGACGGAATGAGCTCCCCAATATGGTGCGCCCCACAACCCAATCCTCTCCATGAATTAGGAACAGGTCCCCATGATAGGAATTGGAGATGTTCCCAATGCACCGGGGAGATGGTTGTGGGGAGCTCATCGGATCTCTCAATGATAATGCCTACCCCATGCCAATCATTAAGGTTACATTTGTTTTGAAGGAAATGGTAGGGAAAGGAAGGGAAAGTAGGGAAATCTAGACAAGGTTTGTAAAGGTTTTTTTATCTTTCCCTTTCTTTCCTTACTTTTTCCTTCAAATCAAACACAGCACAAGGGGGTGTTCAACAATATGGTTAATTTTATTTTCAAAATCTAAATGACAACCAATATTTTAAAAACCGATTTGGAGGCCAAACCGTTTTTTGCCTCCAGGTTGCGGGTCACCAGTTCGACCATCCAGGTCGAATGGGCCAAGTGTGTGTATAAATATATATTTTATCAATAAATAATGTATAATTATATTTTACATGTAATATATGCATTATTTTATATTTAATTTAATTTTTAATATTTATTTACAAAAATTTTAAACATTACAATTTAAGACAAAAAGGGTTTTCTTTTACATGAAAATAGCAAGGCATGAAACCTTGAGATGCATCAATCTTAATTCTAAAAAAAATCACTCCAATCAAACATCCAAATACAAAGTTGTGGCCTCCAAAAATTTCTATTCATATTTAATATACTCATCAACAAACTGGTCGAACTGGACAATTTTTAATGTCACTAAAACCGAACTCAAAATCATCACTTGATAATGGTTGGTTCAAATGGTTCAACCGTTCGCATCAATGGCAGGTTGAATGATGACAATTGGCATATATATATATATATGCCACCGATTTTTGGGTCAATGGTTCAACCGTTCGATTTGAATGGACAATCCATTCTAACAATAAAAATTACAGAATCGTTCTAGCCACTAGTTTATGTGTTGACAGTTCGTTGACCAATTTAATGGTTTTCGGCCAGGGATCAGGATTGGGGTAAAACGGAATTGGTTGCCTAGATGGTTAATTCAAAAATTAAAAAAAAATGACGGTTCGATCGTCCGATTCGAATGGATGGCCCATTCTGACAACAAAAATTATAGGCAAAAATTGAGTGTCTGAGGTCCATTAAGCAGTATCATACGTGTTATGTCATTTGAGCGTGTGACTCATACGACTTGAAAACGGAACTGTTTTGGCCACCGGTTTTCGGGTCGACGGTTCGATTATCCGGTTCGAATGGATGACCCCTTCTGACAAAAAAAAATGAAAAAATAATAAAAAATGGCCAAAAACCATTGAACGGATCAACGGGTCGGCGGTTCGACCGCCCAACTCAATGGGTCATTGATCGATTCAACGGTTTTTGGCCATGGACCGGGATTGGGATAAAACTGAACCAGTTGCCTAGATGGTTCCCAATTAAAAAAAAAAAACGACCAAAAACCAATGAACGGGTCAATGGGTCGACGGTTCCACTGCCCAAGTCAATGGGTCATTGACCGATTCAATGGTTTTTGGCCAGGGACCGGGGTTGGGGTAAAATGGAACCGGTTGCCTAGACAATTCTCAGGCTGAAATGTTCGTTTATCCGGGTCAACTACGGTTCGAAAACCATGGTTTTTTATGCTTTTGGATTTTCACTATTCAAAGTTTTCTTCTACTGTGGGATTTATTCGAGCGTGTATGGTGTGTTCCTTTCTTTCATTTTTTGCTTTTGTTTTTTTGTTTTTTTTTTTTCATGTTTGATCTTCTTCCTTAAGATGCTCCAAAACGGTCTAGGGTTTACCACCATTTTATTTCTTCCCTTTTGTTTTTTTTTTGTGTTTTCTTGTGCAATATTTTTTTTTCTTACAAGACAATCTGCTTTGTCTCTTTCTTTGATTGCATGTATGTTTAGTTCCATCTCAAACGAAACTTTGGACTCGATTTTCTGATTTTTCCCTTGGTTTTTCCAATTTGGTGAATTTACCGCCATTTTTTTGTGTTTATGGTCACTTTGGATATATCTTTCAAGGCTTTGAAATCCCTTGTAATGTCCACCCTTCCCATGACTATGACTATAAAGTTATTTTGTTTAATTATTAATATCTAGAAAAAATGACCGGAAATGGAACCGTTCTAGCCACCGGTTTCCAGGTTGACAGTTCAAACGGATGGCCTGTTCTGACAACAAAAATTAAAAAAAAAAAAGAAAAAATAATTAAAAATAAAAAATAGCTAAAAATTGTTGAACGAGTTGATGGTTCGACTGCTTGGGCCAACAGGTCGTTGCCTAATTCAATGATTTTTTGCCAGGGACCGAATTTGGGGTAAAACAGAACCAATTGCTTTGACGATTCTCAATGTGAAAGAAAAAACAGTTATGAAGTAGAACTTAGACCTATCATTGTATAATCGTATTTTTTATATGAGATGCATTAATAAAGCAATATTTAAAAAATGAATACATGATGATCTCCTTTAAATCTTTATATAAATTTCGAAACTTAAATAGTTATAATAGTAAGTTTCTTATTAAAAAAGCACTTAATATAACAAATAACAATGTTACAATTCCATTTCTCTAGGCCCTCCGCTAGTTTATACAATTATGGCGTTTACGTTATTTGAATTGATGTGGGAAAGATATGGTATGGTATGCGAAGACAAACGATTCCAATCTCGGTACCTCATGTTATTAACGCGTGTTCAACACGTGTCCAAAATTCCAATATAAATATAAATAAATAAATAAATAAATAAATAAACAAAAGGGATTTTTGGACTGCACTCCAATAAAACCCGCCAGGCAACCGCTTTTTAAAGATTGCAGATGAGTTCGGTAGCTTTCTTTATTCGTTTTCATAATTCCTCTGCTTCTCTTCTCTGTATTTTTTGAATTAGGGTTTTGCTTCGACGGTTCGATAAGGATGGCAGACGAGGGTTTAGTTGGTGGGGTTCACGATTCCGAGGGAGTTCAGAACAGTGTTGAGATTGAGAGCCTCGGTCGATTTGCTGTCGATGAATACAACAAGAAACAGGTGATATTGTGTTTGATTCTTTGGTGTACATTTCTTTGGGTTTTTCTTTTTGAATCTTGTCTCGTGATTTTCTATTGTGGGTGTTTTTTTTTTTTGTGAAAATTGTGTATATGTGTTTTTTTTGTTTTTGTTTTTTTTTTTTATTTCATTGAATCTTTGGGGGCAGAATGCGTTGCTGGAGTTTGGGAGGGTGGTGGAGGCGAAGGAGCAATTGGTTGCTGGTACCCTGCACCATCTGACTCTGGAGGTGACCGAGGCTGGTATGAAGAAACTCTACGAGGCCAAAGTGTGGGTCAAGCCATGGTTGAACTTCAAGGAGTTGCAGGAATTCACGCCAGTTAGTGATGACCCCAGGTTCACCTCGTCGGATCTCGGTGCCAAACAAGGTGACTATTCTTGAACTCTTGTCTTTTGCATGTTTTACAATTGATTGTACTAGTGCAGCTACATTTAGTTGTTAAAAGATTATGACCAGCGAGTCCATCTTGTGCTTGGAAAATTTGTAAATAACAGTCTATTATCTCGGGGACAACTATCCATGTGATGTCTTGTTATGTGTGACACTGACAAGTCTTTTCTTTTCTTCTTTTTTTGATCAATGGCTTCAAATTTTATTAATAGTCATAAAAAGCAAAGGGAAGTACATATGGGCAAATTCTCTTTTGGAGACAAGACGTCTTATCTCCTTTGAAATTCTCTTTTGGAAGGAAGTGCTCGCCACTACCTTCCACTTCGTGATAATATCATCTACTGAAAAAAACCGATAGAGTTCTTGTTCCCCTTTCATGACGTTATGGTTCAATTTGATTTTGATTCCTTGACTCCTAAAACCACATATCCATAAGTTACACAAAAGAAGAAAAGAAACCACCAACCATCAAGTTAAAGACATTTAGAATAACTGAGCTTCATTACCTCAGCACAAGGCAAGATGGGACTTGTTAGAAAGAGGCAGAATTACGTGGAGAAGCCTTAGCACTGCAGCCACTTGGACAATATGGGAGGAGAGAAATGCAAGAATATTTACAGAAAAAAAGTAGGGAAGCTCTAATTGAATGGCTATGCATAATCATTAGGACGGCTCATTGGCTAAAATCTTTGGAGAACTCAGTTCTTTTTCAGTAGATGATGATACTATCAAGGAATCAAAATACACACACCCATTAATACTGTACAGTACAGTACAGTGCAATCCAGATTCAATTGGTCTCCCTGGCCAGGTATCCTCAACTTAAATCCATCCTAGCTGCCCCTTCCCTGGCCAAAGCATCTTTGAGAGTATTGGCTGATCTTGCAATTCAGGGGGTGTTCTGTACAGTGGATATTCTGTGGCTTTCTTGGTTCAAAAATACACCACACCCATTAAGAATTGGATGGTTTTGAAACACAAAATATTGCAATTTCTCTTCCACATCAAAATTTCATGGATCAGTCCATACCACAGTAAATTGGATGGTTATTATATTTAATGTAATATTGTATTTAAGACTTTGCTAACAATACATATTGTATTTAAAACTTTGCTAACAATACATACAGCAGCACAGGTTTGGTTCAAACCATGTTATTTCAACCACAGCACAGTGGAGCCAAGTATATTTAAGCACACGACACCTTATAGAGACTACACTAAAGAATTTGTCCATCATGGTTTGTAAAGAAACCCCAATTTCCAATACTTACCCTTGGGTTTTCTGGAGAGCCACCACCAAAGTTAAACTTCATTCTTCCTTCATCAGGTCCAAGCATGTAAGATCGGTCTCCTTGGTTGGAATGAAACAACAACCTGCTGCCATCCCCTTAAAATTGAGTCAATTAAGATACCCCTAAAATGGCCTTTCTTGAGCAGGATCTGTTCTTTAGGTTCATACCTCTATAAGAGCCTAAGTCTAGTGGATGTATCAGGACTGCAATCAGATCATGATTAATAGTTGGGGTCCCATGATGCCAATAGTAGAGAATCATTCTCAATCATTCTGATCTAATATTACTGATCGATAAAAAATGTCGTTATTTTCTCCATTGCATCTTATAAACACTCCTCCAACCCTAACAATGTAGGGTTTCCAAATTGCAACCTTCAAAATTCATCTTGATTATATTTTGTGTAGCTGGTTGCCTGCTATATTGGGTTCCTAGTAAGTTGAGGTGGTGTTGGCAATAGAATGCCAGCATCTTATGATACCATTAGTTGTGTAGTGCAAAAATATGCAAGGGTTTTACCCAATGTGCCACTCACATCATATAATAGTCTCAAATTCTCAATTAATGCTTACTTAGATTGTCTCTTATCCTTATAGGTTCTTGCATTTCATTCTTCCCAATTTGACTAAAGTATTTCTTCCCTAGTGTAATTCCATAAGATTTTTTCCCATAGATTACATGAATAAGCTACTCAAGTCCTGGGAATTCACTTGTATCCATATGTTGGAAGAAAAAATTCCAAATGCCAGAAACAAGTGGACAGAATATTGGTACATGTATGTGGGGAGAAAAACACCAACTAGGTCTTTTTTTTATTGAGGATGCTCAGATGTATTAATTTTCACTTGAAAATTTTCCCAACAAAAAGCTCTAATCTTGGGTGTGACTAGTCCATGTAGTCCAACAAGGGGAAAAATAAAATAAAGAAAGAAAGAGAGAAGAAAAGAGAAAAGGAAAGAAGAAGGGAAGAGGAGGAAGAAGGGGGAAGAAGTGTTCTATTCCAAAAGTTGTAACTAGTGGCACCTAAGTTGGTATTTATACTTAGGGTGACAACTTATAATAAGAGAAGTTCCCAATCAAGGCTACCAACCTTTGATAATAAGAGAAGTCAAGACCACAATATTTTTTTGGTCCCTTTTGACAAATCGAGTATGGTCAGACTGGTATTACTTGAACTCAATTTGTTGAAGAGCCAAGTGAAGTTTGCTGAACTAGGCCCTAGGGCTTTGCTTCAAACCATACAAGGATTTTTTTTAGTTTGCAAACTTTCCCTTCACACCCTTGTGCTACAAACCTAGGAGGCTGAATCACATATACTTCTTTTTCTAGGTACCCGTTCAAGAAAACATTTTTAATATCCAGTTGGTGAAGTTCCTAGTCAAAGTTAACAGCCACAGATAACATGATCTGAATAGTGTTCATTTTAGCAACTAGGGCAAATGTTTCTGCATAGTCAACCCCTTAAACCTGTGTATACCCTTTTGCAACTAGCTTGGCCTTATACCTGTCAACTATCCCATCTACCTTGTGCTTTACGGTGAATACCCACTTACATCCCACTGGCTCTTTGCCTTCAAGAAGATTCATCAACTCCCAGGTGTTGTTTTTGTGTAGAGCACAATCTATTTGGGTATAAATAAGGCTTTTGTAACACTTTTGGGATGGAAGCACAATCAATGGCAGCCAGAAAAGCACGAAATGAGGGTGAGGTGTTTTTATAAGACAAGAAATGGGCAATAGAGTGTTTAATAGTATACGATCTAACACCCTTTCTATGAGCAATTGGGACATCAAGATCATTCGTAGAATCATCGATAGCAATAAGTTCAGTAACATCAAGGGGAACAAGGATACCTAAATCTGCCTCCAAGGAGTTAGATGGTGCCAGATGTATAGTTTCTGGCTGCTCCACACCCTTTGAACTTGGTTTCCCCTTATGAAGCCTCAAGAAAACACGAAATGGAGAAGAGTTAGGAATAAAAGGGAGAGAAACCTGAGGAACTTGCGTCTCCTCGTCCACACTATTCTCCCCCTAAGGAGAAGCTGGAAAGAAAGGTTTAGACCAAAAAAATGACACATCCATCGATACAAATTACTTATGTATGATAGGATTAAAGCATTTGTAGCCCTTCTGGGAGGATGGATAATCCAAAAAAATACATGGAATAGACTTGGGATAACTTACCCTAGTTTGGAGACAAATCATGAACAAAGCATTTATAGCCAAACACATGTAAAGGAATAGAAAACAGAGGAGATTGACGGAAGAGGAGCTGATGTGGGGCCTTGTATTGTAAGAGTCATGATGGCATGGAATTGATAACATAATCCACAATCATCACAACATCAACCTAGAATTGTTTGGGAACATTCATGTGTAACATCATACTACGGGCAATTTCAAGAAGATGTCGGTTCTTCCTTTTAGCAAAACCATTCTGTTGTGGTGTTCTAGCACAAGAGCTTCTATGAAAAGATCCATGAGATGTAAAAAATTCAACTAAGTCATGATGAAAGTATTCTTTCACATTATATTATTGGAAAATTTGAACTTCAACATGGAATTGAGTAAAAACCATGCGGTGAAAATCTTTCACAATTCTGGGTACCTCTTCTCTAGAATGCATAGGATATATCTAAGTGTATCTGGAATAATCATCAATGAAGCTGATAAAGTACTTGTATCTGCCCTCAATGGGTATGTTCACTGGGCCCCAAACATCAGAAAACACAATATGGGAAGGCAAAACAAATCTTTTATTACTTGAAGGAAAATTTTTTCTACAATGCTTGTTCAATTGACATGTTTGACATTGCAGTCCAGTGATAGGCACATACTTAAATAGTTTAGTAGACTAACTCATAAGACTCACAGGAGCTGATGTCGTAGGACTAGCTTTATTCTCCAAAATGTAGAGGCCATCAACCAATCGTCCTCGAGGCCAAATCCTAAAAACACAAGAACATGAAAAAAATGTTACACAACAGTTTAGAGATTGAGTAGTACTACTAATGGACAACAAGTTAATAGGAAATTTGGAACATGAAAGGCATCGGGCAAAACAAGTCCTTTTAGAAGGGATATAGATCCTTGACCAGTAATAATGTAGAAGGACCCATCAGCTAGTCTCACTTTGCCCCTACCGGAGAGAAGGGTGTAGGTCCAAAATAAATTTGACTTGCCAATCATATGATTTGATGCACCTGAGTTAATGATCCAAGGGGAATTTGGAACAAAGGTAGACACATGAAATGTAGAAGCATTTTTACCTGATGTAAAAGCAAAGGAGGTAAAGGGGGTAGGAGCTGATCTATCCATTTGTCCAAGGTTCCTACCATACAATTCTAGGTCTAAAGGAGTTAATGATGTCTTCCTTAGGGTCAAAACCAATAGAATGCTCTTAGGAAGTACCGGTAGTCAAATTATTTGATTGAGAATCTTGTGTAGCTAGATTTGCGGAGGTAAATTTCTTCTGAGTAGGATTCTTTGAAATATCTTGAGTTTTGGCTGACAACTTGGGCTTCCTAACTAACTCCCAACAGGTCTCTTGGGTGTGTCTAGGCCTTTAGCAATGAGAGCACCACAGTTTATCCTTGTCATCATTTTTCCTTAATTCTCCTTTTTTATTCTAGTGTTACCCCCTTCTTGAAGCTAGAGCAGCTGGTTGCTCCCCCTCAGAAA